CCTCCAGCGCGCCCTCAAGGAACTCCCAAAAACCCCCAAGAAACATCCCAAAACCTCAACTCAACCCCCAAATTCCCTTTTTTTTGGGTTTTTTTGGGCTATTTTGGGATATTTTGGGTTATTTTGGGGGGATTTTGGGATATTTTGGGATATTTTGCGATATTTTGGGATATTTTGGTCACCGTTGACGTGCGCCTCCAGCGCGCCCTCAAGGAACTCCCAAAACCCCCAGGAAACCTCCCAAAACCTCAACTCCAACCCCAAATTCCCGCGTTTTTGGGTTTTTTTGGGGTGTTTTGGGGTATTTTGGGATATTTTGGGATATTTTGGGGGGATTTTGGGGTATTTTGGTCACCGTTGACGCGCGCCTCCAGCGCGCCCTGCATGAACTCCCAAAACCCCCAGGAAACCTCAACTCCAACCCCAAATTCCCGCGTTTTTTGGGGTTTTTTGGACTGTTTTTGGGTATTTTGGGTTATTTTGGGTTATTTTGGGGTATTTTGGGATATTTTGGGGCGTTTTGTCACCGTTGACGTGCGCCTCCAGCGCGCCCTGCATGCGCTTCTGGGCGATGTTGGGCCGGATGTAGAGATCCTTCAGCTTGGGGTTGCTGCGGTTGAGGTTGATGACCAGCGAGTCCTGCTTGACGATGCCCTGCGGACACGGACAGCCCGCTGACCACTGGGTGACCACTGACCACTGGGTGACCACTGGGTGACCACTGGGTGACCACTGACCACTGGGTGACCCCTCAGTGACCACTCAGTGACCACTGGGTGACCACTGGCCACTGGGTGACCACTGGGTGACCACTCAGTGACCACTGACCACTGGGTGACCACTGGCCACTGGGTGACCACTGACCACTGGGTGACCACTGGGTGACCACTGGGTGACCACTGGCCACTCAACGGCCAATGATCGGTCAATGTCCACCCAATGACCCCTCAGTGACCACTGGGTGACCACTGGCCACTGGGTGACCACTGGGTGACCACTGGGTGACCCCTGGCCACTCAACGGCCAACGATCGCTCCAGGAACTTTTAGTGACTGCTCAATGGCCACTCAATGACACTCAATGACCATTCATTGATCGGTCATTGACCACTCAACGATCGCTCAATGACCATTCATTGACCACTCAATGACCACTCAATGACCATTCATTGACCATTCAATGATCGCTCATTGGCCGTTCATTGACCAACCAATGTTCACTCAATGTCCGCTCACTGACGGACCACTGACCACTCAATGACCACTCAATGACCATTCACTGACCACTCAATGACCACCCAATGACCATTCACTGACCACTCAATGATCACTCAATGATCGCTCAATGACCATTCATTGACCACTCAATGACCATTCATTGGCCACTCAATGACCATTCATTGGCCGTTCATTGACCATGCAATGTCCACTCAATGTTCGCTCACTGACTGACCACTGACCACTCAAGGATCGCTCAATGACCATTCATTGGCCACTCAATGACACTCAATGACCATTCATTGACCACTCAACAATCGCTCATTGACTGTTCATTGACCATTCATTGACCAACCAATGTCCACTCAATGTCCACTCACTGACTGACCACTGACCACTCAATGACCATTCATTGGCCATTCATTGACCATTCAATGATGGCTCATTGGCCGTTCATCGGCCATTCAATGTCCACTCAATGTCCACTCACTGACTGACCACTGACCACTCAATGACCATTCATTGGCCATTCATTGACCACTCAATGATTGCTCACTGGCCGTTCATCGACCAACCAATGTCCACTCAATGTCCACTCACTGACTGACCACTGACCACTCAATGACCACTCAGTGACGATTCATTGACCATTCAATGATCTCTCGTTGGCCGTTCATCGACCAACCAATGTCCACTCAATGTCCACTCACTGACTGACCACTGACCACTCCCTGACCCCCGGGGTGACCCCAGGTGACCCCGGGGTGACCTCACCTCCTTCTCCTTCTCCTCGGCCTCGCGCGTCTTGTAGCGTTTCTGCACCTCCTTGATGATGCGGAACGCGTTCTGCAGGTTCAACGCCGGCACCGTCGACTCGCCCGGCGGCTTCAGGTTGGACGCCCGGTAGGTGCTGCGGACAGAGTGACCGCCGGGTGACCGCCGGGTGACCGCGCTGACCGGGGCGGGGCCAGGGGGGGGCGGGGCGGGCTCACGCACATCTCCTTGACGAAGGTGGCCTCGGGGTTGGGGAAGATGTTGCCCTCGTTGCGGCCCAGCGCGCTGCCCGGGCAGAAGAAGTTGATGCGCAGGTAGGTGTAGTCGCCCTCCACGGACATGCTGATGTTCTGGGGGAAAAAACGGAGATTTTGGGTCAGGGAGGGAAAAAATGGGAGTTTGGGGGGAAAAAATGTGATTTTGGTGTCCACTCAATGTCCACTCACTGACTGACCACTGACCACTCCCTGACCCCCGGGGTGACCCCAGGTGACCCCGGGGTGACCTCACCTCCTTCTCCTTCTCCTCGGCCTCGCGCGTCTTGTAGCGTTTCTGCACCTCCTTGATGATGCGGAACGCGTTCTGCAGGTTCAACGCCGGCACCGTCGACTCGCCCGGCGGCTTCAGGTTGGACGCCCGGTAGGTGCTGCGGACAGAGTGACCGCCGGGTGACCGCCGGGTGACCGCGCTGACCGGGGCGGGGCCAGGGGGGGGCGGGGCGGGCTCACGCACATCTCCTTGACGAAGGTGGCCTCGGGGTTGGGGAAGATGTTGCCCTCGTTGCGGCCCAGCGCGCTGCCCGGGCAGAAGAAGTTGATGCGCAGGTAGGTGTAGTCGCCCTCCACGGACATGCTGATGTTCTGGGGGGAAAAACACGGAGATTTTGGGGTGAAAAACGGAGATTTTGGGTCATGGAGTTAAAAAAATGGGGATTTGGGGGGAAAAATGGGATTTTGGGTGGAAAAAATGGAGATTTGGGGGGAAAAAATGGGGGTTTGATGTGCAGGTTGGTGTAGTCGCCCTCCACGGACATGCTGATGTTCTGGGGGGAAAAACACAGAGATTTTGGGGTGAAAAAATGGAGATTTGGGGGGAAAAAATGGGGGTTTGATGTGCAGGTTGGTGTAGTCGCCCTCCACGGACATGCTGATGTTCTGGGGGGAAAAACACGGAGATTTTGGGGTGAAAAACGGAGATTTTGGGTCAGGGAGTTAAAAAAATGGGGGTTTGGGGGGAAAAATGGGATTTTGGGTGGAAAAAATTGAGATTTTTTGGGGAAAAAATGGGGGTTTGATGTCAGGTTGGTGGAGTCGCCCTCCACGGACATGCTGATGTTCTGGGGGAAAAAACACGGAGATTTTGGGCTGAAAAACGGAGATTTTGGGGTGAAAAACAGAGATTTTGGGGTGAAAAATGGAGATTTTGGGTCAAGGAAGAGAAGAAATGGGGGTTTGGGGTGAAAAACTGGGGATTTGGGTCAGGGGGAGGGGGTGGGGCCGCCCTCCACTGACACGCCGATGTTCTGGGTAGAAAAAAGGCAATTTTGGGTCAAGGTTTGGGGTGAAAAAAGAGGATTTTGGGTTTCCCTGCCAAGTCAGCCATTTCCCAACCCTGTTTTCCCCCATTTTCCCCCGCCCCACCCCCGGCTCTCCCCACTCCATTTCTGGGGTAAATTCTGGGGTAAATCCCGGGGATTTTGGGTTTTTCGAGCAATTTTGGCATTTCTGGGGTCAATGGTGAGTTTTTTTGGGGTTTCTCAGCTACCTCACCCATTTCCCCCCCCCCCTTTTTCCCATTTCCCCCCCGTTTTCCCCCATTCTCCCCACTCCATTTCTGGGGTAAATTCTGGGGTAAATCCCGGGGATTTTGGGTTTTTCGAGCAATTTTGGCATTTCTGGGGTCAATGGTGAGTTTTTTTGGGGTTTCTCAGCTACCTCACCCATTTCCCACCCCCCCTTTTTCCCATTTCCCCCCCGTTTTCCCCCATTTTCTCCCGGTTTTCCCCCATTTTCCCTCCGTTTTTTCCCATTTCTCACTTTTTTCTCCCCAATTCTCACTGCCCCCCCCCGCGCATTCCCGCTTTTCCCTGGCGCATTCCCAAATTTCCCCCTTTTTTCCCCAAATCTTCCCCCCCTTTCCCCCCGGTTTTTTGGCCATTTTTCCCCCATTTTATCCCATTTTTTCCCATTTTTTGCTGATTTCTCCTCCGTTTTTTCCCAATTTTCCCATTTTTCTCCCCAATTCTCCCCGCCCCCCCCGCGCATTCCCGCTTTTCCCTGGCGCATTCCCAAATTTCCGGCCGCGGCCGCTCCCCGGCGGCGCGCACAGAGCTCCCTCTGTGCTCCCGGAATTTTGGGAGCCTCCCGCGGGAATTTGGGCAGCGCCATTTCGGGAACGGAATTTTTTGGGAACGGAATTTTTTGGGAACGGCCGCGCGGCTCCTCCTGCAAAAATTCCCCAAAATCCGCCCCAAAAATGCGGGATTTGGGGATTTTGGGGGGTCCAGGGGGGGATCCCAAAATTTGGGGGTCTCAAAATCCCAAAATTCCACCCCAAAACCCCAAATTCCCCCCCCCCCAAATCCCAATTTTT